AACAATGACAACTACAACCAAAAAATAGCCGGGCATTGTGGTGGGCACCTGTGGTCCCAGCTACTTGGGAGGCTGAGGCAGGAGAATCGCTTAAGCCCAAGAGTTTGAGGTTACTGTGGGCTGTGACACTATGGCACTCTACCCAGTGTGACAGCTTGAGACTCTGTCTCAAAAAAAAAAAAAAAAAAGAGAAATAAAGCTACAGATCAACTTCCCTTGGGAATATAGATGCAGAATTCCTCAACAAAATATAGTTGGCCTTTGAATGACACAAGTTTGAACAATGCAAGTCTACTTACACACAGATTTTGTTTTCAACCAAACATGGATCAAAATTATAGTATTCTGGGGATGTGAAACCTATGTATGTGGAGGGCTGACTTCACATGAGCAGGTTTCTTCACTGGGTTGACTTTGTAACTTGAGAATGTACAGATTTTGGTATACTCAGGGGTCCTGGAACTGATTTCCCATATATGCTGAAGGATGACTGTACTGGCAAATCAAATTCAGCAAAATGTAAAAAGTACCAAGTGGGATTTATCCCAGGATTGTTAGGATTACAGGCGTGAGCCACCACACCAGGACTCCATAATAATAAAAGGGCGGGGAGGGAGGAAACTTTCTCAGCCTGATAAAGACCATGTATGAAAAGCTCATAGCTGATATACTAAGTGGAGGAAAGACTGAAAACTTTTCCCTAAGGTTAGGATTAACATAAGGAGGTTCACCTTTGCTACTTACATTTCTTTCATACTGGAATTTCTAGCCAGGGCAATTAGGCAAGAAAATAAAATAAAAGGAATCCAGATTGGAAAGGAAGAAATGAACTTTCCCTAGTCATAGATGAATTTTTTTTAACATCTTTCTATTGCCCAGGCCAGAGTATAGTAGCATCATTATAGCTCACTTCAGCCTCCAACTCCTAGGCTCAAGCACTCCTATCTTGGCCTCCCAAAGTGCTAAGATTACAAAGTGGGGCTAGAGTGCAGTAGAGTGGAGTCACTTCATAGCTTGTTGCAATCTCAAACTCGTGGGTTTATGGCTGGGTGTGGTGGCTCATGCCTGTAATCCTAGCACTGTGGGAGGCCAAGGCGGGTGGATTTCTTAAACTCAGGAATTAGAGACCAGCCTGAGGAAGAGTGAGACCCTGTCTCTACTAAAATAGAAAAAGCTAGCGGGGCATGGTGATGAATGCCTATAGTCCCAGCTACTCAGGAGGCTAAGGCAAGAGGATCCCTTGAGCCCAAAGGTTTGAGGTTGCTGTGAGCTATGACACCACTGCACTCTACCCAGGGCAACAGCTTGGGACTCTGTCTCAAAAAAAAAGAAAGTCAGATAAGCCAGGTGCAGTGGCTCACACCTGTAATCCTAGCACTCTGGGAGGCCAAGGTTGGTAGATTACTTGAGCTCAGAAGTTGGAGACCAGCCTGAGCAAGAGTGAAACCCCATCTCTAAAAGTAGCTGCGAGTTGTGACATGTGCTTATAATCCTAGCTACGTGGGAGGCTGAGGCAAGAGGATCACTTGAGCCCAAGAATTGGAGGTTTCTGTGAGCTATGATGCCAGGGCACTCTACCCAGGGTGACAAAGAGACTCTGTCTCAAAAAATTAAAAAATAAAATAAAAACTCAATTAATAACAACTATTGCAGAGGATGTAGAGTAATTGGAACCCCACTACGTTGCTTCTGGGAATGTAAGGTTGTGTAGCCATTTTGGAAAACAGACAGTTCCAGCTTAGCACTTGTGGCTTAAGTGGCTAAGGCGCCAGCC